CCCCAAAACCCCAAAACCCCAAAACCCCAAAACCCCAAAACCCCAAAACCCCAAAACCCCGTAAGTTTTAAATTTTATTTTTAAAATATAAACTAGACTATGACTAATTTCCAACCTCCAGAGGATGACAGAAGATTTGAGAATTATATTGCTTATGACGGCTTAGCAAGTCGTGCTACTGATGTCAACCGTATCGCCTCGAATGAGTATTTCAGGGTTAGAAAAGGATACAATGATTTTAAAGAGTATGATGAGTACCAAAAAGAACTTAATTCACGATATAATAAACCCACTAGAGCTAAAAGTGCCATTCCAAAGAGGAAGCTCCCTCCACCCATTGTGAAGCATGAATGACTTGAGAAGAAGGAGTTGATGAAATTAAACAGAGCAATCTTAAAAGGCAATGCTAAGAATTTTGAACAGTTCGTTAAGAAATTAGATGTTAAACTTCCTAACAGCACTCTTTATACCATCGACAAGGTTGTCAGAGATCGGCTAAGAGAAGGTAGATATGGAAAGGATTTTTCAGAATACCTCAACCTTGAGAGCGAGGAAGAGCATAAAATGCATTACTATCACCATGAAATGCTAAGACTTGGAGATAATGCTATCAGAGTTCCATACATTCCTCATTCATTGTTGTTGAAGGAGAAACTTAAGAAATCTCCTATCTTGCCTGAGAATAAACCTAAAAATGGGCCCTCTGAGTATCAATCTATCAGAGCTCCCAAATCTGGCAAGAGAGCTAAAACTGTTGGAAAATTTGGAAGCTGAAGGAAAGGAAAGGGAACAACAAAAGAAGACTTTTCGGACTGGAGAATGAGGAAAAGAGCTCAAGATAGATTGAAGTAAAAAATTGATAAAAGAAGCCAAACAGCAAGTGAAAGATCAAATTTTATTTGATATGCACAAAATCACTAGATTATTAAAACCCTCTGATAATGAAAGTGGAGAAGGTGAAGAAAGTGAAGAGCAAGACTCTCAAAGGAAGGTGACCCAAACTTTTGAAGAGAGCCAGAGTTCACAAAAAGAAAAGATCAAGTACATCAATTTACAAGATTTTTGTATGAGAACAAGAGGTGTTTACTATCCCAACCCATTATTTTAAATTGAAATTGCTTCAACAATTCCACTTTTGTAAGGGGTTTTGGGGTTTTGGGGTTTTGGGGTTTTGGGGG